TCCATGAATTCTTCTTTTCTCAGCACGTGTTCCTCACTAGAAGAAAATGCTGTTACCTTTAAGCTTTGTCAAATTTACATTAAAATACTTGTATGAGGACTGTGACGTTATGTTAAAAAAAAGGTGTTAAGTCACAAAATGCGGTAATAAATATTTCATTTTTGATTTTTTGTTAGGCTTTTGTGTTTTTCATGGTATTAACACAAGGTTATATAATGCAGACTTGATGTGGGGCTCAAAGCAGGTGATGCTCTGTTCTCCTTTAGAAGTTGAGCATATTTGAAACCCAATTTAGCAACCATTTTTAAGATATTCATTGGTAAACTTTAAATGTTTTTCCTATAAGTGATACATTTATAAAAGTATGAAATTGTGTGTTATGAGCCAAGTTGAAGGATCACCTTCAACTTACCCAACCTCTTCTTATAGATCCACCAAGTTAACATATTACTATATATATATATATATATATATGCACACACTTATTCATAGATATGCAAACATGTGGGATTCAAAAACTTCTTGGGAAAATTTCATTATCTTTTAATTCCATTTTCCCACCAACTTTTTTTTTCCCCTCCAGATAAAAGCTTTTCATTTTCATCTTCCACCAGAATAACAAACTATTTCAGGTTAATTTTACAGCACAAGAAATAATGCCTGTGCTGGAAGCTAATTCATCTCCCTGTGTTTTTCTACTAAATTGCTGAATATGCAAATTCGGATTTACATATAGTTCTTCATAGATAAGTAAACAGCTTCTCTGGAGGTTGAAATCCTGAGTTTTAAAAGATTACTTACTCATTAATATTTGATATAAATTTTATTGTCATGTGTTTTTATTTCAGACACTTAAACTCTCTAAGTACAGGCATGCTAGTGTGAAGATTTGGTGACTAAACTTTGTGTTGTTTTTCCCCTGAAACAGTAGCAGAACTGACAATATGATGCCATTTTCCAGGTTTCATCCGCATTCCTGGTGACCCACACCATGCCACTCATAAGCTTGCCACTGCTGTGCACACAGTGCCTGTTCCAGTGGGCACAGGGAAAACTCAGTGTGAGGAATCCCTACGCCCCCTCAATTTTTTTTCAAATAATGATACCATCATGGAGTTATGCGACGTCTACATTTACAACCCTAAAGCATTCCGAAGAAATAATATAATAGACTTGGACTACATATATGACGTCAACTTGGTAGGAAAGTAGTTCGCTCTCTCTGCAAATGTTAACTTGGAAGAAAACCAAAGCTTTATCTTATCTGGGCCTCTTCCATGTTTCATGTCAGGCAGCAATCATGGAAATGCTATGCCTATGAACAAGGCAACACACGTCTATTATTTGGGTATTGCATTTAATTTGATGGAAATTTTACAAACACATCTATCAGTTTACTTAAAGTGTTACTTCTGACACAAACTAATGGAGAAATTCTGTACCCTCTCAGTTTTTACTATCCCATTGCGTGTGGAGTTTTTGTTTGCATGCTTGGGTCAATTTTCAATAACTGTATATTTTTACTTTAACATTTTTAAAGTAAATTCTGGCAAATGCCTCATTTAGAAATGAACTCTCGTGTCATCTGACAAAAGAATTGTTGTGGCCAAGTTTCCCTTCTTTTTCTTCTTAGTGAATGCTGAAGGCGCCTCGTATTTAGGCACTGTTTTATGAGATTGTTATTAAGTTATTTCATTAAAGTTTAAAGTCCAGCCCTCTACCTTTGGTTTTAATGAATAAAATCTCAGGTTAGCTTGTTCAAACCCACACCCTAGCCGGGTCACCTTAACCCCCTTCAATATTTGGAGAGGAGGGATCATTGCCCTACCACTTGCATAGAACACCGCCCACCCCATGCTAAGACTAAGAGTCTGTGGGCTTGTCCAATTTCTATGATGCTTTTTTATCCCACCTCTGAAGGCACTTGCTCCCATCTCAGATTTACTATTTAGTATAAAGAGTTCCGAATTGGGTATATTTAAGAAAGACTCAGCTGTCAAAAGCAAAGAAACTGGGAATGGTGTTTTGACAACCATATAGTGTAAAAGGAAGCACTGTAGTCTGAATAAAATTGCTTATGTTCTCCAAAACAAGAGGAATATAAAAACACTTTATTTATATGGAAAAGCAAAAGCAGACATGAATTCCAAAGGTTTCCCTTTCTTTAAGAAATCTGAGAGAACTGCAGTCGCCATCTGTTACGGGTTGGGAATGGAGCAGGAAGCCACATTTCCCAGGAATGACTAGGAGAGTTTCTCGGGGTCTTCCAGCCACCTCTTCTCCCTCCCCCGCTCCAAGGCTCCCCCACCCCCAGCTCCGCAAGTTTGACGCGCCCAGGGCAGCCCTGCAGGACACTGCGCCCCCCGGGCCGGTGAACCCGGAGCCCACTTGGGAGGGGCCTGTGGCCCACGTCGCCAGCAGCTGTCCGAGGCGGGACCTCCCTTCCCGGCGCGGGACGCCACCTTCCGCAAGTCCACGTTCGCCTGGCCGGCGGGCACTG